CTGAGGCGGGGCCGGGCAGTCACTGGGCCGCCCCGAGGGGCGGGTCTGAGCTCCTTGGCCAGGTCCCCGGGACGGGCTGCCCCGGGCTGGCAGGGTCTGGCGAGCTGTGGGGAGCGGGGTGCTGGTGGGTGCGGGTTCTCAGGGCCTGGCGGGGTGACGGGCGGGCAGCCGGCTCCTCTCGTCCCCAGCCCACCCTCCGGTGCGGAGGCAGCCCAGGCCCTGGTTCTGGCTGAGCCGGGAGCTCGGTGACCACGCTCTGGGCGTGCTGGGCTGGGGCCCCCGCTGTGGACTGGACACGCGGTGGGAGGGAGGCTGCAGCCTCCAGCCAGCAGGGGCGCCTGACCGGAGGACCCGCGGGCTTCTGCTCCCAGTCGACTCTCAGCCGTGTCCGTGAGGGACAGCGCCTGCCCGAGCAGGACCCACAGGCTGACCCCGTGACCTCTCCCGCCCTGATCAAGGAGACGGGGCCCCCCACCCAGCACACGGCCCCCTGATCCGGTGCACCGGCCAGCTCACCTGGCCAGCCCCGCAGACCTGGGCCTTGGTCCTGGAGTAGAGCCAGAGGGCCGAGCGCCGCAGGGAGCTCTGCACCCACCACAGGTCACTGGGCGCGTCCGGCAGCCACAGCACCAGCCTGGGGAAGGGCAGCAACAGCTTTGCCCACGGAGCCCGTGGTGCAGGCCCGGCCCGCCGCCTGCTGGGCCTGCGGAGGCCACGGACCGAGCTCGGCGGGGTCGCCGGGCCCTGCTGGCAGCAGCGGGGAGCCGGGCTCCAAGGCCGCCTTTGGGGCTCGGCCGGCTCGAGCGTGCGAGGGGCGGCCCTTCTCGCCTGCTCGTCTGCGTGCGGTCTGGGCTGGCCGGGGGCTTCTGGGGCCCAGTGTCCTCCCTGCCCTCGAGGACCTTCAGCTGGCCCACAGGTCCCGGGCTACTCCTCAGCCAGCCCCTCTCCCTCTGGCCCAGGCCAGCCCTGCCCACCTGCTCCATACCCTTCGCCACGCTCCTCTCGGCTGGGCCAGCCAAGGGCTGGGTTGTCCAGCTCCGCCTGGGCGTGCACCCGGAGTCCCTGGGCATGGCAGGGCTTCGCCCCAACGTGTTGCCCTCAGAGGGGCCTCAAACAGGACAGACCGCGCACACGGTGCAATGGGATAAGCAAAGCATCAGCTGCTCTGTCACCTCCTTCGTTCTAGGCCTTTTGCCTCTATTATTGCAACCTGCAGCTGAGCCCGTAGTTTTCAGGAGACACAGTACGGGCTCCCCTGCGGCCTGCGCCAGCCCCCCGCTGGTGCTCACGTGTGAGTCTGCTCGGGACGGGGCAGGTTAGACTCAGCATTACCCTTTTTGACTTCCTGGCTTCAGCCTAAACCCCGACTGAGCTGAGTAAGGAGCCGTGTCAGCAGCTTGCTGCCCGCCGGGCCACTGGCCACTTAACCAGCTGCCGGAGCTGCCCAGGCGCCAACTCAGCGTGGAGACAGACGGAGGCCTGTGGCTCAGTCAGGCCTTCCAGGGAATGGAGAATTTAAAAGCACAGCCCTCGCGTGACTCGCCCTGCTGAGACCCTCCCTCCCCGCCTCTGCCAGGGCACAGAGCCTTGCGTGTCCAGCTCGGCCGGCATCCCCGGCCCTCTGCGCAGCCCTGCCCCTTGGACGCTAGCCACGCTGGCTCCCCCTCCGCTCCTCGATGAACCTTACCCCTCCCAGCTGCCCAGGCCCCGCGCACGTGCTGTTCCAGCCCCCGGAGTGCCGTCCTCTCCCCTCTTGCCTAGTGGATCCCGCCCACGCCACCTCCTCTCGGCTGTGTCCAGCCAGATAGCCCCTGGTGG